CTGATGTCTTACATCTTGGAGCTCGTGAACCAACTTTTGCTTTCCTGCTTGGAGATCCGAAGCAATGTCGTTCAAACTGTCGTTCAGCTGCTGCATTTGTGTAAGTTGTTGCTTCAACCTTCTGAGCTCCGTTTCCCTTTCCTCAAGAAGGTCATGGTTCACGTTCCCGGCAGCGTCTTGGTGTTGCAGGTCTTCCACCCGTCGTTGATAGTCCATTAGTTGTTTGCGGAGCCGGTCAGTGAGGTCTGCTAGCTTCTGCCGGTGGGTGTTTTGCAGCCCCGCCACTTCCAGCTGATGTTTGTCCATCTCCCGCATCCGCCGCTACTCTAGGTCCCTGATGTGGCTCTTCAGTTTCCACAGTGTTTCTGGGTCGATGGTATTTGGTCCCTGGGTGGAACACTGGCACAACTTCTTCCGATAAGTCACTTCAGCCTCCGTGGTTCGATCTCATGGAGGCGTCTATTGATCTGTGTCTGGGCTGAGATGACATCAGCCAAATCCATGGCGTCCCCAGGGAAATTCCCTTTCCCCAGCAAGTGTCTGTTTATATGGGAGATGTCTCTGGTCAAAGAGGTCTGGTTGCTGTCCACGGCCCCTAGGGAATGGCCTAGGCCAGAGCCCAGGCCAACAGCCCAGGAGAACATCTGACAGTCATACAACTGCCCTGGTCTGCGGTGCGAAAGCGTCCAGCCCAGTCCGACTACACCCCCAAGTGTCCCAGAACCCCTGCCTGCCAGAGGCTAAGAATCAAAAGCCAATAGGCATTTCCAGGCAACGCCTGCATGCCCCCCCCCCACCTCCCCTTGTGTGCACTCCTGCACTCCCGGCCACTGCTGGTCAGGCACCTCCAAACAGCCAAGGCCCTTTGGCCACTGATCCCGGTCCGCGCCGCTCATCCCCAGGACTTCTACGCCAGGCCTGGGCCCCTTGCCCTCCTTCCCCTGCTTTGGTGGCTGTCCTGGGTGGGCCCCTAGAGCACGCTCCTGCCTGACTGTCCCCAGGTGCCTGCCCCCCAAAAAATGCACCTGGCCCTCAACTTCCCCCTAAGTGGGATCACAGTACACAAAGTCCTGTGGCATGCGCTTTCCATGCAATAGTATTTTTCAGTGAGGTGAAATGTATACAGTCACACACATCCATCTAGCTAGGAGAAAGGCTTCTAGGTGCATTTCACAGATGTCTACACCCGCGCAGAGAGTAGCCCTCATGGAGACTTTGGGTATTTCCAGCCTCCAGAGGCTCCAGAGTGCCCCATCCCTCCTTGCCCCATCCTTCCTGCGGAGAAACCTGGGCCCACGCCTTGGTTTGGCGTTTCACCGGCCACCGCCTGGGCTGGCCTCTGTGGCCTCCCTGGCTGTGCGCCTAGACCAGGCCAGCGGTTGCTCAGGAGGGTGGAGGTGCCTGGTCCGCAGGTCCTCTGCTCTGCACAGAGTGGCGCAGGTGTGGGTCGGCAGAGGCCCGAGTCCACCCCGAGGTCCTGGCCTGGCGCTAGTCTACCGGTTATGGTTAGGAACCGTCCCCCCAGCTGCCTTGCCGGAACCCTGCAAACCCCCACCACCAGCAATTCTACCGCATGAAGGTGGCGGCCAACCAGACCTTGGGGAGACGAATGTGCCCATTGGGGCCCACTGCGATTGCGCTGGTTGGGGGCTGGGGAGGTTATAGGAGGGCTGGCTGCTCTCTTGGTCAAGTGCTCCTATCCCCTGACACCACCAGGCACCAGGCACAGGGGGTTCTGGCCCGGGACTGCGCCTTGCCACAGACTGAAGCCCAGCTCGGGGCCGCTGCCAGAGTCCCATAGGAGCCACTTGGTGGGTTGGCCTTCTGAGATGCCCTCTGGGCGGGTCCCTGCCGCCCTTTGTCCTGGCCCCATCCAGAATCGCCCTGGGGCGACTGCACCTGAACCTTCCCCTGCCCTCCCACTGGGATGTACCCTGGGCAAAAACTCCGGTCTGGAGTGCTGAAGGCCTGCTGGTCGTTGGGCTATGGGGGCGGTGTTCTCTGCCTTTCATGGGGTGCCAGGCCTCTGCAGACCCTCTGCCTCCACGTGCCTGAGGGCAGGAAATAATTAAGGGACGATCAGAGTCCACAGGATCGCCTCAGGAATTTCTGGCATCCATGGAGGGACTGTAGAGGTGCTGCTGCCTCCAAACCAGGGCCCCTGTGGACCGAACTGCCCAAGTTCTTGACATGGAGAAATTGGCAACTGGGAGGAAAGAATGGTGGAAATGCCTTAGCTGATTTATTTTATTTTTTTAAGAGCTTTTTAAAAAGCCTTTCTCCCTTTGGGTTTGGAAGCAGATCTTTCTCCAGGTTTCTTTGGTTTCTGCTTTAATGCCTGATAGGAAACATTATCCATTATGAAAGGACAGCAGACACCAGGCTTTGTAGACCATCCGGCTGTTGGAACAGGAACCACTGGTGGTTTTGAGAGCTCCTGGAGGTGATGGTCACATGCCCAGTTATCTGGGGCACAGCTTTCAAGGTCCTTAGGGCTGTTGGCTGTACTGGACCTACTGACTGTTTATACTGGGATAAGATAACAAAGTGTGAGTTTTCCACAGCTTTTGCTTCCCCCCCCCAACACCTGGGTCAAAGGAGGAGTGTGGTTTGGCCAAAGCACGTGTGGCAGTTCTTCTGGTGTGTGTGTACCAAAATGCTTTTCCTTCCCCTCCCATTTTCTAAACTTGCTTTTGAGGGTTTGGGGTCCCTCCCCCAGAACTTTTTGCTTAGTGGCTTTGTTTTGTTGTTTAATTTGGTTGCTACCCCACCCTATGCTCTTAGTGTGCACTGATCCTGTTTCCAGAGTTGATGCCTGTCCCCTAAAGCCTAGTGGTGCCTACTTTTCTGTCATTTGTGGGAAATGATAGAAGTAATGCCAAGTGACAGGTAGACAGGGGAGCAGTGATAGAGTTTTGGAATGTAAGTAACATTTGGCGGGGTGAGGTCCAGAGCTGATGACTGAGAAAGAATTCTTGAGACCTCTTTGGTGCAAAACGGTGGTTTTATTAAAGCATGGGAACAGGATCCGTGGGCAGAAATAGCTGCATCAGGGTTGTGATATACATTTGGAAGGTGGGGGAGGTAAGGAAAGGAAAGGGAAGGGTTTCAAAAGCACTTTCCTATGCTAAAGAGGACCTACAAGATACTAGAGACCTTGCCATGGTCAAGTGAGGTGGTTTTACCTTCCAGCAAGGAATGAACATGAAGATGGTTGGAAGTTTCCTGGAGGAAGGTCACACAGGTCCCACCAAGGCATGGGGGAGGGTGAGTGCAGGGTGTCAGCTTCTGCTCCCTCATCAGGTGTGGGGCTAATGTTTCAATGGAGAATATGTAAATGAATTCTAAGATAATTCCTTGGGAGTCTTAGTAACATGTTTTGTGAAATCAATATTCGGTGAGGGTCAAGACAGATTTGTCACATTGTTGTTCTGGCCTGTTTATACACCGTATCAGGAAAGGGGTGTTTGCTATTTTGGCACAAAGTTCTGAGGCTTATTATTCTCTTTATTTACTTGACAGAGCGAGAACACAAGCAGTGGGAGAGGAGGAAGCGGGCTTCCCACCGAGCAGGCACACTGACCTGGGGCCCCTCTCCCAGGACCCTGGGATCATGACCTGAGCTGGAGACAGATGATGAACTGATTGAGCTATCCAGGCGCCCCCGTTCTGAGCCCTTTCAAGCTCCCAAGCCGGTCAGGCTCTCCTTGGCCCCAGCTTCCTCTGCAACAGCTTCTCTCTTCACACTTCCATTTCAGCCATAGATGCCCTGCTTTTAGATTCCAGAGCAGGCCGAGGGTTCCTACCTGTTCACCCCTCCCTGGAATTCTCCAGAGCTCCTTTCACCACACCAGCCCTGTAGCTGCTGCCTACTCATTCTTCAGCTCTCCAGGCAAAAGTCTCTGCCTCTAAAAGGCCTTCGCTGGTGCTACTGATGCTCCAACAGAGACTGGAGGGCCCCAATCTGGGGAATTTTCATAAGTCCACACAGCACCTGCTTTTCTATGATGCAGTGGCCTATTTACTTGTTCTTGTTCTCCAGTAAACGAAAGGCCTCGAGAGAGGCTTTGTCGTCTTTCTCCAGCACCTGCTGTGGTGCCTAGCGTTGGGTAGAAACTCCATAAACATTGCCAACTCAAGGGTAAATCTAGTTCTTACCAGATCACCCTGGCGGGGTGAGCCCAAGTATGAGAAAATGAAAACTGGATAGAGTCAATGGGGACTCTGGCCCTGACCTTTGACTGTGTTTCTTTATTGCTCGATGCCAGCAGAGGCTGAGGCGACTATTGAAGGGTGTGGCGGTTATGCTCCCAACATCCAAACGCTTTTCCTGGGGAAGCTCCTGAGGGATATTCTGTAATCCCGCCACTCCAAGCTGATGTGGTCATCCCTCTCCCTCACCTGATGCTGTTCTGTCCCTGACGGTGTCCTTCAGTTTCCAGACTGCAGCTGAGTCTGAGCTCTTCAGTCCCTGCGATGAAGACTGGGACAAGTTCTTCCACTGTGTCACTTCTGCCTTCAGTGTTAGGATCACATTTGGAGGGTCTGTTGATTTTTGCTGTACCCAGATGACATCCACAAAGTCCAGCACATCTCTGGAGAAACTGAAGGTGTGGCCCCCTCCCAGGATCCTGGAAGCCTACTTTAACATATAAAAGTTACTTTGGAAATTTCCTTTTTCTCTAGCCCCCAAGATACATGTTGGCAATCATCCCTCAAGCGTAAGGCCCACTGATCTAGGCCTGAAGGGTCTCATGACTAAGGCTTTATTAGACCGTAATAAATGACCTTTTGCCAACAACAGCTAGCCCCTCGTGGTCCTAGAAACCTTCCTTCCAGAATTCCTTGGAGACTTACACTATCCCCAGCCCCTCAAACTTGGAAGTATAGAATAGGCCATTCCTCATGACCACATGGCAGCCCTTTTTGCCTATAGGTCCTGTCCCCATTTTATAATAAAATCACATTTTTGCAGCACCAGAGACAGCTCAAGAATTCACTCTTGGTCGTGAGCTCCGTACACTATGATGGCAAAATCAGAAACTCTAAGGTGCAGGACCAGAAAATGTGCCTAAAGAAGATACAAACACACAGTTCAAAAACAAGCAAGAAAACACGAAGAAAAAATCTTCCCCAAACGGGCTGATGAGGGACTTTGATCAAAGACTGTATCTTTATGTTCTAAAGGATTCCCAGCAATTGAAAAGAAAATAAAACTGCAACATTTCCGATGGACATTTACAATGAAATCCAACAGTCCAGTAAAAGGAAGGAAGGATACTCCATCTATTAGCACAAAGTTCTTTAAAAAGTTTTAAATTAATAGGTTTGGCAGTTTGGCAGAATTTTAAAATGATAACAGCCAGCGTTAGGGTGTATGGAAAGGGAACCCTCATCATCTACTCTCGTGAAAATACAAATTAGTAAACAGGGTCTCGAAGAACGGCTTGGCAGTAGCTATTAGAATTCACAAGGGACAATTCCTTGAGCCAGCAATTCCTGCAAACATGCACATGTACCTGTGCTTTCTACAGCACTGCTTAAGAGAATACCATAAAACACGCAGCTATCTAAAGGACCATTGGTACTGAATACATTAAGTAAAATGGAATTTCCATATCTTGAAAGAAGTTGCTGTGGCTGATATCGAAGTGGTTACTGCCTATATTCTCTAGGATTCTGATGGATTCCTGTCTCACATTGGGGTCTTTTACCCATTTTGAGTTTATTTTTGTGTATGGTGTAAGAGAATGGTCGAGTTTCATTCTTCTACATATAGCTGTCCAGTTTTCCCAGCATATTCCCAATAATCATTTATCGAAGAGACTGTCTTTTTTCCACTGTATATTTTTTCCTGTTTTGTCAAAGAGTATTTGACCATAGAGTTGAGGGTCCATATCTGGGCTCTCTACTCTGTTCCACTGGTCTGTGTGTCTGTTTTTATGCCAGTACCGTGCTGTCTTGGTGATCACAGCTTTGTAGTAAAGCTTGAAATCAGGTAATGTGATGCCCCCAGTTGTATTTTTTGTTTTTCAACATTTCCTTAGCGATTCTGGGTCTCTTCTGATTCCATACAAATTTTTGGATTATTTTCTCCAGCTCTTTGAAAAAATACTGGTGGAATTTTGATCGCAAAGGCAAAGGAAATAAAAGCGAAAATGAACTTTTGGGACTTCATCAAAATCAAAAGCTTCTGCACAGCAAAGGAAACAGTCAACAAAACAAAGAGGCAACCCACGGAATGGGAGAAGATATTTGCAAATGACAGTACAGACAAAAGGTTGATATCCAGGATCTATGAAGAACTCCTCAAACTCAACACACACAAAACAGACAATCATATAAAAAAATGGGCAGAAGATATGAACAGACACTTCTCCAATGAAGACATACAAATGGCTATCAGACACATGAAGAAATGTTCATCATCACTAGCCATCAGGGAGATTCAAATTAAAACCACATTGAGATACCACCTTACACCAGTTAGAATGGCCAAAATTAGCAAGACAGGAAACAACATGTGTTGGAGGGGATGTGGAGAAAGGGGAACCCTCTTCCACTGTTGGTGGGAATGCAAGTTGGTGCAGCCACTTTGGAGAACAGTGTGGAGATTCCTCAAGGAATTAAAAATAGAGCTTCCCTATGACCCTGTAATTGCACTACTGGGTATTTACCCCAAAGATACAGATGTAGTGAAAAGAAGGGCCATCTGTACCCCAATGTTTATAGCAGCAATGGCCACAGTCGCCAAACTGTGGAAAGAACCAAGATGCCCTTCAGCGGACGAATGGATAAGGAAGATGTGGTCCATATACACTATGGAGTATTATGCCTCCATCAGAAAGGATGAATACCCAACTTTTGTAGCAACATGGATGGGACTGGAAGAGATTATGCTGAGTGAAATAAGTCAAGCAGAGAGTCAATTATCATATGGTTTCACTTATTTGTGGAGCATAACAAATAGCATGGAGGACAAGGGGAGATGGAGAGGAGAAGGGAGTTGAGGGAAATTGGAAGGGGAAGTGAACCATGAGAGACTATGGACTCTGAAAAACAATCTTAGGGTTTTGAAGGGGCAGGGGGTGGGAGGTTGGGGGAACCAGGTGGTGGGTATTGGAGAGGGCACGGACTGCATGGAGCACTGGGTGTGGTGCAAAAACAATGAATACTGTTACGCTGAAAATAAATTTAAAAAATTTAAGAAAATGGAATTTCCATGCCAAGGAGAACTAGAAAGCCATCAGAAATGAGGAGGCCGACCTATATATGATGACACAAAGATAGTCATGGGTTGCTAGGTTGCAGAAAGAGCGAGCTAGCTACAAAGCAGGATATATAAATGATTCACTTTATTAAAAGGACACCTGAATTTACTGATTTTGAGAAATACAGATTCATTCATTCAACAGATACACACTGAACTACAACCTATGTATTCATTCAGTGTGTATATATGGTCTCTCAACAAAAATGTATGGGACCCTCTATGTGCCAGGCACTGGATTATCTTTCTGTGTGTGTTTTCTCATGTGTGATATTTATCCGTCTCTAGGTGTGCTGTTCATCCACAGAAGAAAACACTCTGAATCCTGCTTTTCTTGGTAAGGGGAGAGATTATGGAGCATGTTTACTTCTACTTCATACATTCCTGTATGATGGATCAAAGGTAATGCAAGGTGGTAGCTCTTTCATTATCGGTAATCATCCTGACCCAAGTAATCACCCAATATGCAGGGAATTGTGACAGCCACAGTGTGGAGAAAACAGCTAGGCCAGGAAATGGCAAAGCCTGCAGAGGATCTATTTACAATTCATAGGAGGGAAACAAAGGATGGGGGAGATGTTCTTTACTGGGGGAGTTTCTTCACTAGGAGCATGAGTATGGCACTGTGGTTGCGTAGAAGCCTGTCTGGTTGTCTGATGTTTCCTGTGTCATCTGTGTCCACCAACCACAAAGGCCATCCTCTCTGGGCATGTCTCCTGACAGGAATTATTAAGAAGTCCCTTGAACTACTCTGTCAGACACAGACTGAAAATGATGGAACATTCTGGAAGAGGTTTCCCTTGGTTCAAAAGGCTTAGAGGTGAGCAGAGTGTTGCGAGCTCACCAAGCTTGATCCTCCTCTGCAGATACACAGTCTCAGATGCCAGGCAGCAACTAAAAAGCATATTTACTGTAACAGAATCTTCTATTTGGAAACGGTGAAAACCTGGTTTTTATAGGATATAGTAGAATAGCCTTATACTAGAAAACTATTTTCAGATGTTGAGAATTAGACATCTTTGAAGGAAATGCAGAAAAGTTTTAGGTTAACTAAGAATTTAACTAACTAAGAATGTTTAGAGCAGATGAGGACATACTTCTGCTAGGATACCCCACAACACCCTTCCAGAATGTTACTCCCATGATAGAAAAGGTTAAGGAGAGTCTAAAATTCCAAGACAATGATTGCAAGCAAATGAGGGACAGCATACACTACTATACCTTGTGTTGGACTTCTTACTTTATTATAAGTTTTCCCTCAGGGCGTCTGGGTGGCTCAGTCAAGTGAGCGGCCAACTCTTGATTTTGGTTCAGATCACGATCTCAGGTTCGTGGGATTGAGTTATGAGTTGGGTTCAGTGCTCAGTGGGGAGTCTGCTTCTTGATTCTCTGTTTCCTTTTGCCTCTGCCCCTCCTCGCTCATTCTCCCTCCCTCCCTCTCAAATAAATAAATATATCTTAAAAAAAAAGAGTTTTCCCAGGCATCAGATACTTGACCCTCAGAAGAATTGTGAATGAGGGGTCACTGTGGAGGGAAAGCTATCAAAAGGCACACCTGGAGCCTCTAACGAACAGACATCTTCTTTCTGGGCTTTGGCAAGGAGCAAGACGGCTGCAGCACATGCACGTGACACTTCCAGTTTTGATTCTAGGATCCCTAAGCCCATCTGACACTCTTCATCAGGATCTGGCATGTCACAGGAGGTGTGGAGGATATGCAGGATGAGGCCTTGCTCCTGGACAGCAGCCAGGGACAGCTGTGAGGAAGGACAACCCTTGGATTCAAAGGGGATCCCGCAGGGCTGACCACAGCACAGGCTGCCCAAGGTGACACCCATCCCTTGCGTCCTTGATCCTTGGGTTGTGTGGAAATAGAAGTTGGGAGACACAGAGAAGCCAAAGTTCCTTTAAGGGTTTCACTACCCCATGATTCTTTATCTGTGACGGTACTGGCTTTCCTGGGCCCTACTGCTGCTCACTGCCAGAAGTAGGAGCCTATCCCCATAGTCTTGGGCCCAAGATCATACAGAATGAGCTCCCACTGTGGTGGAAGCAGAAAGCCTGTGACCCGCTGCTAAGCCTCTGCTGGTGCAGCCAGGGGACCATCCAGGGTAGAAGGTGCATAAGACCATGAATGGCAGACAAAATTTTCTCCACACTGTCTAGAAGCACAGATCTCTCAATTCAGGGATTAGCAAACTTGTTGCAAATGACCAGAAAGTATTTGAGCCTCTGCAGGCAAGATGGCCTCTCCTCAAACTACTCAACTCCACTGTCGTGCTGTTAAAGCAGCCACAGAGAAGACTTAAGTAAATGGGAGTGGCTGTGTTGCAAAATAACTTTATTTACAAAGACAGGTGGGTAGGCGAAATTTGGCCCTGGGCTCCAAAGTCCAAACAGGCATTCTTTTTTTTTTTTTTTCCCCAAGGAGACTAGAGTTTTTAAAAAACCCTTTGGACCAATCCAAAATACCTCCTCTAAATCTTTCCTACCCTGTGCTATTTCCCTTCCCCTACTACATGACACGAAGGCCAACACAAACCTTGGGACCAATTCAAAAGGGTGTGTAGCTGAGAGGAGGCATTTCTTCAGTGGCTTCTGCTCACATGCACACATTCTGCCCCTGAATTCTGCTCCAGCTCCTTCCACCACACCATGGTCACTGAGGTACAGATGCACCATCGACTGACGGACCGCAAAGACCCCCCTGAGCAAGCACAAGGCTCTGGACAGAGAACAGGGAAGCAACCTGGACTTGCGGGACCTGCAGTCTGTTCGGTCCTGGTTCTGCCGCTAACCCGACCCGTCTCGTTTCCCTTGAGAGAAGTTATACCTGTTAAAAAGAGCAGTTGAGGGATCAAATCAGGGAGTAGCTACAAAAGGTCTCTGTGCCATATCACTATCACCAGCCTTGCACATCTCTAAACTGTACTGAAGACACTGTCACGATGACAATAAAATCTTTGCGATCGTCAATACGGCAGACACAGGGGCACAATCCCACTGGCAGGGTCTTCCACACATGCAGAGGACACATCAACAAGGGTTTTTTTTTAAAGATTTACTTATCTGACAGACAAGTAGGCAGAGAGACAGGCAGAGACAGAGAGAGGAGGAAGCAGGCTCCCCACTGAGCAGAGCGCCCAACGCGGGGCTCGATCCCAGGACCCTGGGATCATGACCTGAGCTGAAGGCAGAGGCTTCAACCCACTGAGCCACCCAGGCACCCCTCAACAAGGGTTTTTATCAGAATCCCTGTTTGTAACAGCAAAGGAGGAGAAGCCAGGCACCTATCCTTCACCAGGGCCCCGGTGACATCAAGTACGAGGCTGATGGCGGCAGCAGGCACAATCAGCTGGGGACAGGGGCGTGAGACAGGCAGTCACTGCATTCCCTCTGAATATATTTTTAACATTTTGATCCAGGCAGGCACCTTCACAAATGAAACAATTGGGGAAAGAAGAGGGCGAATGTTCATTTACCTTTAATCTCCAGAAGGTGGTCTCCATCTCAGTCCCGAGATTTAGAATTTGACAATGACATTCTGTCTCCTGTAGAAATGCCTTTATCAGCTGACTGACGCCATGGACTCAAGCAAAATATCCTGAGAGAGAGACACAGAGACAAGCTATCTCTCAGTGAGGTTGGAAAGCATCCCTGCAGAGCCCGCCCCAGCAGTAGAGCAAATGAGGCCTCTGCTGCTCTTCTTTGGGGTCAGTGATTTATCTGTGGACTCATGGGAGAAATCAGGACTTTCACATTCTTTCCCTCTCTCTCTCTCTTTTTTTTTTTTTAACTTAAAGCTGCTGGAACCAAAGTAAGTACAATCTATTTAATGATTTAATGGTGGAATTAAGGATCTTAGGATAAAATGTCCCTTGTGGCACCTGGGTGGATCAGTCAGGTAAGAGTTTGCCTTTGGCTCAGGTCAGGATCTCAGGGTCCTGGGGATCAAGCCCCGCATTGGGCTCCCTGCTGAGCTGAGAGCCTGCTTTTCCCTCTCGCTTTGGTCCTTCCACTCATGCTCTCCCACTCTGATAAGTAAATAAATAAAATCTTTCAAAAATAAAATAAAATGTCCCATGATTGTACTTAGGAAAGACAAGTGTTTTACATCAAAACATCATATCTTAATGTTCCTCTTTGAAATATGCTTTTTTGTGGCCAGGTACAAACTACTTAGGACTCAGCTAAACCTCAAAATGCGAGATCATGACAAAATAATATTTTGTGGTCAGAATATGGGGCAGATAAATGGCCAAGCAAAATGAAATAAAATGAAATAAAATAAAATAAAATAAAGCTGTATTTCTTACCATGTTCCCTTCATCTCCATCCTGTGTGGGTAAATGCCTCTATGCTTATAAATTGACCTCACAGACCAACTGCGGGAGAAGAAGGCATGAGCAAAATTGCCCCCAAAATGGACTTATTCAGCTCCAGGGTGGGGAGCTTGCATAAAGGAGATGGGAAATAAAAGAGCGGAAAAGGAAGACAAAATCTGTGTTCTAAAGTCCTGTTGTTTAAAGCATAACTATCTTAAGAACGAAATTTGAGTAGCATTTGGAAACATACTACAGTGTGATATAGGAGTTCTATGTGTATTGATTCTCCTAATAAACAATTTGAGCTTGTACTTTACAGGTTATCTTGCATTTTATGTTTCTAGGAATTCATTTTTATTGTATGTTATAGAATATCATCCACAACAGACTGGATATTCAAACAAAAACTTTAAAGATGCTCACCACACCCTATTTGGGAAGCCCTTTCTTTGTGTGCTGCAGCCTGGACATTCAGCCCAAGCAGAGAAAGAAGGAAGGCAGGCTGCTGACATGCTGTCTGGGGGCACCCAGCTCCCCAGGGCTCCAAGGTGAGTCCCTGCCTCTGGTTAGGAAAGCTGCCTCAGGGGCCCAGTAGGGAAGCTTCAGGCCTTTTAGGCAGGCCTGGCCCCATCTTCCTAAAGTCTGGGTTCACCCTCAGCTCAAGGTAAGATCCATGTCCTTATTGTCAGGGACCACCACTTTAAACTTTCTTCTCATTTCTTACAGAATCTACCCACAAGCTCCATCTTTAGGGCCAGGATTCCCTGCATGCCCAAGGACTGGGGTCATTTGGCCAAATTTCTCAATCTGATTGAGACTGAGTCACCCTCCTGTCTCAAATCCTTTCACTGCCTTGATAGAAAGGACTTGCAGAGCCCAATAGTGTTACTATCACTTTAATAAGGCCAAAAAGGTGATTCCTTACTTGGACAGTTCACAATAAAAGATACTAGAAATGGCTCTTAAACACATAAAATGGTCCTTAACTTCAGCCCCAAAATAAGAGGAATAAAATAAAATAAATTTACTGTAAGATACCATTTTTCAGATTAATCACAATGAAAAGCTTCCTGTGTTGGTGAGGATGTTGGGAAATGAGCACTTTCATATGCCACTGGAGAGAGTGAACACTCTCTTTTGAAGAAGGAATCCCTAAAACCTTGGGCCTCTGGTCTGATGAAGGGACGTTGGGAGGGAGGGAGGAACTTGCCTCTGTTAATTCTGGGGGCCTTCCTCTCCTTAGATGGTCTTACAAAATGCTAGATGGAAGGGTCTAGCCAGTAGCCAAGGCTTACTGCAGACCTAAAAGGGAAGAAAGGAGGCAGGCAAGGTGAGGTCAGTAGGTTCTGACCCAGTTCTCAGGAACCAGGTCAAGGAGCACCATCAGCTACCTCCAACAGTGAAGAGAGGCACATTTCATGCTCCATTACAAATCTCAGCAGACTCAGCCATCCGTTTTGGTGCTCACGTACACAGCCCCTCATCACGCCCCTGCTGGTGGCCATTTCTTCTCTCTCTTTGCTGATGTGCCTAACTCCCTTCCCAGGACCCTACAGAGCACAGCACCTCACCTCATACCTCACCTAGAAGACCTCCCACCATTTATTCCCTCAGCAAACTCACTGGCAAGAGCCAGTCAGACAACTCTGCTCGACCACAAGTTCTGTGTCCATAGGAAGGGAGATCTGAGATTGTTTCCTAAAACTCACGAAAGACTACCTAAGCCTTTCCCCCGGCTCCGTATTAGGTACCAGTCCTTCCACATCTCTCAGGTAGGTCATAGTGGGAAAACCAGGAACCAATAAACACAACAGCTACAACCTAGAAAATGGTGCAGTAGCCTGAACTCTGGTCTACACAACCTGGAAAATGCTATGGTAGCCTAAGCTCTCCCTGGTCTATATTACAAGGAACCAAAGTTTTAGTGTTCTAAGCCAGGAGCTGAAGCCCAGATTACCAGTAAAGGTCTTCTGCCAACTGTAAGGAACCAGCCTTAGAAAAACAAGAAGTAGGGGAAGGAGCCTGGATCCCTAAGACCATTTTATGAAGCCATTTTGGCCCTTGCCCTTCAATGGCTAGCTTGGAAATTAATAAACATGTTTACCACTCAAACCAAATGGAGTTGCATGGTCAGCTCTTGGTTTCGGCTCAGGTCACGATCTCCGAGTTCTGGTATTCAGTCCGGCATCAGACTTCATCTTCAGTGGGGAGTCTGCTTCAGGATTCTCTCTCCCTCTGCCCTTCCCCCCACTACTCTCTCTCACTCAAATAAATCTTTTTAAAAAAGTAATAAATCAATCGAATGGAGTTGGTCTTCTGTTACTTACATCGTGAAACATCCTAAGTGCTATCCTGAGTACATTACCTCATTTCCATTTGCCTGATCAGTAAGCTAAAAGGGGTAGGGTGTATGCGACTGTGTGTGTCTGTGTGTGTTTGTGTGTGTGTGTCTGTGTGTGTGTGTGTTTTTCACCCAGCTAGGTTCTAAGTTCTCAGATATCCATCTCAGATAGACATCGTATGTTCTTTTCATATCCACCGACAAGGCTTACTGCTGCCCTGACTACAGTCTGTGCTAATCCTGTACCTGTCCCGACCAGTCTCCAACAGACGGCCATGTGCCCGCCTCAGCAGGCACCCATAAGGAAGCAAATACCTTCGGCTACTCAAGGCAGCAACTCAGCACAGAAACACACTAAGTACGCACTAAGGGACACAATTACCTACAAGCCCAGACTGTCAAGGAAAACTGACCCAGAGTTTTACAAGGGTGAACACACTCCGTTGTCTAAAACAGTGCTTTTCAAACAATGAATTGTGACCCATACATGTTCACAAAATCAATGTAATAGTCTGCGAGTCCCAGGCTTAGAAAATGCAGATGACAAGAGTTAAACAGAAAATATCAACATCCATTACATACTGTAAGAGTTAAAGATTGTTTTGTGAAGCTGTTGTTGAAGTCTGTGTTCAGGGTATAAGTGCCCTGAGAAGTTTGTTCTCCAAACCAACAAAACCAAATAGACTCCTCAACACAGAATGGTGATTGCCAGAGGGTAGTGGGGAGGGGGGTGGGCAAAACTGGTGATGGGGATTAAAAGGTACACACTTCCACTTATATAAATAACTCACAAAAATGAAAAGTACCTCAGGAATATCATCAATAATATCCTAATAATGTACTGTGACAGTGAATACACATAATCGTGGTGAGTGCTGAATAATGTACAGATGTGTCAAATCAGTAATGCTGCACACCTCAAACTGACATAACATTGTAGAGATCAAACGGTATTTCAATAATTAAAAGAGAGAAAATTGTGTTCTCACTGTTGGGGATTTGATGGGCACTGTCCTCAAAGGCATCATGTAGTGCCCTCTAGTGGTTAGAGCCAGATCTGCAGTTAAGAAAGAACAACAGACCAGAGAGACCTCAAGCATGGCTGTCAGGTTGGAAGCAACCTTCCAAATGACCTGGTCAACCCTGACATCCAGGGCAAGAACCCTTCAACAACACCAAGCCACCGCCTGAGCCCTACCAAGAAAGCACTCGCTCCCCCGCTGAGCAGCTGTACCTGCTGAGAAGCTGACCAAGCTGCCTTCCTCTAGGAGCCCCTCCCTGGACTTCCTACTGCCCTCTCCTGGATGACACGGAGCAGCTTCTGTATTCGCCCTCAGCTAACACTATTGATCCAGACAAGCAATACTTGTTGAGTGTCTGCAAAGTACCAGGCATTGGGGATACAGCGGGGAACCCAAGAAGAGACAGAGACAAAGTAAGAGCTGATGCCAGGTGAAGGACAACAGCATGGGGGATGAAGGACCTGCATCAGACAGGGTCAAAGGGCAGGCCTCTCTGAAAAGGGGAGGGCTGCGTGGACTCCCACAGAATTGGAGAAAGCTGTGCAGAAGGCACTCGGGATGGGACGAGCAGCAGATAGAAATGCTCTGGGCAGGAAGCGCCTTGGAATGTTCCAGTAGCAGCAGGTAGGCAGGGAGGCTGAAGAACAGCAGAGAAACAGGAGAAACCTCAGACTTCCGGGGTCTCTGTAAGTGTGTGTGTGTGTGTGTGTGTGTGTGTGTGTGTTTTATTTTCTCTGTTTTAAAATTTTTTTACACTACCCATATGCCATATTTCATTCTAAGACACCATCAAATATAAGACTGAAAAAGGAAAGAAGAAAAACTTTCAGTTGGTCAATGTTTTTCCTATTACTTAGAATTTTAATTTGATTTTGCTTTTGTGCTGATGAAAACGCCCTTCAGATGTATTTGAACAGAATGAAAGGGAAAGGATGAGTGATAGAAGTTGGTTAAGTCTTTTATATTTAGGGTCATGATCCTACCCAAATTTATGTGTGTGTGTAAAGAATGAGGTAGAGGTCAAGGTCTGTTTTGTTTCCACTTCAATATCCAACTCACCCAGAATTATTCACTACAAAGACTCCCCTGGGTCACCTGGTTTGTTCACTCTGTTGGGCATGGTCCTCGGCTCAGGTCATGATCCCTGGGTCTTGGGATCCAGTCCCACATTGGGCATCCTGCTCTGCAGGGAGTCTGCTTCTCCCTCTCCCCTCCACCTTGCTCATGATCTCTCACTTTCTCTCCAATAAATAAATAAATCTTTAAAAAAAATAAAATGACTTCCTTTTCCCCACTGAACTGACTTGACACTCTGGGCAAAAATCAATCGACAGTACCTGCTGTGATTGGTCTATTTTTGGACTCTCTATTCTGTTTCACTGATCTATCTTTAAGCCAAAGACTTTGATTACTGTGGTTTTACTATAAGTCTTAATATTGGGCAGGAATAAGCAGTGTAGGTTCTTCAACTGTGTTCTTTTGAAGATTTGTTTGGTTATTCTAGACCCTTCACATTTCCATATACATTTTGAAATCAACTTGTTCATTTTTTCTAAAAAAGAGGAAAAGGATGGCTAGGAGTTTGACTGGGATTGCATTGTTTGCATGAATCAAATCATGGAAAACAGAAATCTCAATGATATATCTTCCAAGCGTAAACAAAGCCTATCTCTCATTGATTTCAAATTCCTGTGTCTTTGACCCAAGATTCCAATGTCTTCTGCCAGTATTTATGAAACTGTGGCATGCCAATGTGGTAACTTTCACTTAGGGTAAAATCTCAGACCCTTTACAGTTCAGTTCTTTACAACAGGTCACTTATCTTAATCTCCAAAGATTACAAATTTTTCCCTCTTTATCTAATTACATGCAGAAATCTAGACAAGACATAATGGTCACTGGTTGGAAATGAATCTCATAGCACTTTTATTTCTCAAATATTTTCTGTTTTATCAATATTAGCAATGGTCAGGAAGACTTGCTCCAGTGTTATTTGACTGACAGAATAGTCTTCTAGATTGAATAGCACTTTGGCTTCCTCCAAAATATTAAACACCTTTAACAGGGGAAAAAAGAAAAAGATGGTATTACTATTGTACTATCTCCAGTGACCCTTTTCCCCCACCCCATCATTCCCCAATTCCTGCCAGGCGTATGCTTAGGGACAAAAAGACACAGAAGGGGGAAGCTAGAAAGTAGAAGGAAAAGAGGGCTGAAAAATAGAGAGGAGGCAGTTTTCCATCTTCATTCTTTTGGTAGTGTAGAATAATAGAATTTAGGGTCAGAACTCTTAAACTATAGGTGCCTTTGAAAAGTAACAAAGATTCTTCTCTGCCAATGTCAGGCTCCCATTCCTTATGTTTGAATCACAATGCCTCCTTCTATCAGTCCTCTGTTATACATAATGTTAGAAAAGTATGATTTCTACAATCACCTTTCCCCAGCAGATTTCCTCTTTGGGAATATAGTAGCTAATAATCCCTTGATGCTCCTGGTGTTTGATGTTACCTAAGAAAGGAAAGTAACAGAAGGGGCTCCATATGTGATAAGAGTTTTACAAAATTCCTAAATAAATACCATTCCAAATGTCCGTACCAATGGAAGAGAGAATATATGTTAATGCAAAAGACCATATAATCCCAAAGCCCATTCTCTTTTAGTATATTGCCACTTTGTTAAATATTTCAATAGATTTACTTCCATATAAAGTATGGTCTTAATATCTATAGTTTATAAAAGTTACAGAGGGTCAGATAATCACAGCAAGCTCATACACTTACTTTGCCAAACCTGACTTACATGAATCCTAATGTTCCATTGTCCTGAAACTGCTCATAAAATTTGGGTGTGGTTTCTTTCTCCAGGTGTGTGTGTGTATGGGTGTGTGCACGCACGCATGTGTGTGTGTGTGTGTGTGTGTGTGTGTATGTTTAGGATCTCTATACTATTCTTATGACTAGGCAGTCTTCATCCTAAAGGAAATTTTAAAAATCATAATAATAAAACATAAATGTGAAGGCATTCATTGGAGAAATGGGATATTACAGCTTTTGAAAATCTGGTAGTAATACTGTAGCCATTCCGAACTGATAGGATGCACTTTTATGTATTATCACTCAACTGGACATTATTGCAAATGGAATTAATTGAAAATGGAATTAATTGAAATTAATATATTTTTTAAAAAGTACATATCAATAATACTGATTTTATCTTGTCATGAGTCCCTAAATAAATTCCATGAGGTAATATGTAAAAAAACTTTTCAAATTGGGAAATACATCAAACATATAAACTATGTAATATGTATGGAACATAAATGTACACCTCAGTGAATTATAATAAAGCTAACAAACATGTGACTGAAACTCAGCAATCCAGAAGTCAGCTATGTGTCACTAGTGACTCACTTCTTCTCTATGGTAAACATTTATTTTCCCATTCTTTATGGTTTTATTAGCTTTAGCTAAGTATGGAAACATAAATACTATAACTTGATTTTGCCTTTTTTGTACTTCACACGAGTGCAATAACACAGTCTGCATTATTCTTATCTGGCTTCTCTCAATCATTATATTTTTAAGATTCATCAGTGTTGCTGTGTATAACTGTACTTCATTTGTGTTCATTACTATAAAGTTGTCAGTGTATGACTACACCTCTGTTGTTGGTGGATATATGGTATGGTATCCAGCCTCCTAAATGGCCCCAAATGATCCCTACCTCCTAGTTTTCACCAAACTGTCTAGTCTTCTTCCCAGTGAACAGGGCTGAGCTATTCACTGCAGAAAAAAGAGTGGGACTTTTGCCTTGATTGTAGTACCTTAATCAAGTATTGAAGTCAGGTACTGTCAGTCCTGCAACTTCTTCTTTTTCGATCATATTGGCTATTTTGGGAATTTTGCCTCTCCGTATAAACTTTAGAATCAGTTTATTGATAGCCACAAAATTACTTATCCTATCCATGACCATGGAATATCTCTACATTTATTTGGTTCTTCTTCAACTTCCTTCATCAGAGTTTTATAGTATTCCTCATGTGGATCTTCTATATATTTTGTTACATTTACACCTATGTATACCATTTTTCGGGGGTGCTAATGTATATGGTACTGTGTTTTCAAATTAAAACTCTACTTGTTCATTGATGGTATACAGGAAAGTCATTGACTTTTGTATATTAAGCTTGTATCCTACAGCCTTGCTTTAACCACTTAATAATTCCCAGAGTTTTTGGTCCATCTTTCAGATTTTCTAATGTGTCAATCTTGTGCTCAATGGAAAAAAAAACCACATTCCTTCCTTCCTAACCTGTATGTCTTTTATTCCTTTTCTTGTCTTAGGTGAGTTCTCAAGTACAGTGTTGAAGAGCAGTGGTTAGATGGGGCATGCTTGCCTTATTCCTGGCTCTAGTAGGAAAGCTTCAAGTTTCTCACATTTAAGTATGTTGATAGCTATAGGTTTTTGTAGACATTCATTATCACATTAAGAATATTCCTATCTGTTACTAGTATACTGCAAGTTTTAAAAACCATAAGTAAGTGTTGAAGTTGTCAAATGCTTTTTCTACATCTATTGATAGAATCATGGAATTTTTCTTCTTTAGCCTATTTATGTGTTGGATTTTATTAGCTCTGTTTTGAATGCTGAATCAGCCTTGTATCCATGGGATAAATCACACTGGATGATTGTGATATGTCTGGGTTTTTTTTTTTTTTCTTTTCTGTCTTTCTTCTTCTCCTTCTTCTTCTTTCCTTCCTTTTCTTTCTTCCTTCCTTCCTCCCTCCCTCCCTCCCTCCCTCTCTCCTCCTCCTCCTTTCTTCTTTCTTCTTCTTCTTTTTTAGTAGGCTTCCCTGTATAGAGCCCAAGGCTGGGCTTGAACTCTTGACCCCAAGATCAAGACCTCAGCGGAGATCAAAAGATGGATGCTTAACCGACTGAGCCACCCAGGCACCCCTGCCCTGTTTTGGTGTTAAGATAATGCTGAGGGGTGCCTGAGTGGCTCAGTTGGTTAAGAATCTGCCTTCAGCTTAGGTCATGATCTTGGGGTCCTCGGATCGAGCCCTGTGTTGGGCTCCCTGCTCAGTGGGAAGTCTACTTTTCCCTCTCCCTTTGTACCCCACCCCTGCTTTTGCATTCTCTCTTTCTCAAATAAATGAAATCTTTAAAAAACACAATACTGAATAATTTAGGACATATTCCTTTTGCTTCTATCCACTGAAAGTTAATGTAGACAATTGGTATAATTTGTCCCTTAAATGTGTGGTAGAATTCACCAGTAAATCCATTTGGGCCTGGTGCTGGGGAGTTCAATTATTGAGACAATTTCTTTAATAGATAAAGTCTTATTCAGATTATTTATTTTTGTGTGAGTTTTGGCATATTGTGTCTTTCAAAGAATTGGTCCATTTCATTTAGATTATCAAATTTGTGGACATAGAATAGTTCATAGTATTGCTTATCCTTTTAATGTCTTTGGCCTCTGCAGTGATGTGCCCCATTTCATTTCTGATATTAGTAATTTGTATCTTTTCTCTTTCTTAGTTATCCTGGCTGGATATTTATGGACTTTATTTATTTGTATTTACAAAGAATCAGTTGTTGCAAACAAAGACCCTTTTCCTTCTTACTTTCTAATTTGGATGACTTTTATTTCTTTTTCTTGCCTACTTTATCTGGCTAGGACTTCTGGTATTATGTTGAGTAAGAGTGATGGGAGTAACATTGTTATATCATCTTGATAAAATTGACTCCTTTGTCATTATATGAACTTCTTTGTCATTTGATACAGACTTTGACTTAAAACTGATATGAATATAGCAATACTGATCTCTTTTGGTTCTATTTGCATGGAGTATCTTTATTCATCCCGTCACTTTGAGCCTGAGTCTTTACATTAGAAGTAGCAGTCACCTCCTCCAGTCTTTTCTGACGGCCTTCAGGAAGAAAATACCTTCTATCAACCAGGTAGGGATTCTGAGGCTTTCTTAGACCCTTTCAATGGGTAACCTTGCTTCATACTACTTGTTCCCTCTTGGAAGTGAATTCTTAAGACAATTCTGTCAATTCTGCTATGCTAGGCTAGGTGGTAAGAGTATATTCTTTGCTCTCCATAGCATGATGCTGAATGCTTAAATTGGTGTACCTTCATCTAATCCCACAGATTGTGTGCACACCAGTCATTTGCAGAGTCTCACTCTTGACACCCTTGGGGTTGCACATAGGGAGCCAGCCACAGGATATTCATGTGGGTGACTTGCATGGAGCATAACGTGTGTTTGTGGACCAGTTGTGGGAATTGTAGTCAAGGTGTTAATAGCTGCTCATGGGCAGACTTTTTGATGGGATCTTCAAAGTGATTTGTAAGATCTGCCTCTCTTCGATGACCTCTAGAGTCTTGGCTGCTGCTGTTCTCCCAGCTTGTCCTTGCTCCTGTCATGCAGTGCCATCTCAGTATTCTGGTTGGAGCAAGACAAAAGTGTATCTCTTTGCCAGCATCCCTCACAACTTGGGAAGCCAGGTGTTTACTCATTCATTCTTACTTTACTTCATGGGGGGAATTGTAGGTAAAGAAGTTTTCTCTTGGCACTGGTGACATGGGTAAAGTGAAATTGTTTCTCTTCCCCTCATCAAATATGACCAACCTTGGAATTGTCTGCTTACTGATGTGCTAGAATTTCTCTACGAGACTCTCCAACTTCCACAAAGGGGCTTTTGCATGTGGGTGTTCTTTGTAAAGAAGACAGTAGAAAACTCCTATTTGGTCAGTTTGATTACATCACTCTCATTACTTTGAACAAATTCTTATCTTTTAGGTCAGTTGAGAATAAGAAAAAAGTTTTCATTTTTATCTTTACTTATTCCTTCTCTGATACTCTTCCTCTGTTTATGTAGATCTGAGTTTCTGACCTGCATCATTTTCCTTCTCTCTAAAGAACTTCTTTTAACATACCTTCCAAGGCACGTCTACTGGCAAAACATTCCCTCAATTTTTTTTCTTACCTGGCAAAGTCTTTATTTCTCCTTCACAATGAAGGGTAATTTCTCTAGGTACAGAATTCTATGTTGGTAGTTTTATTCTCTCAACACTTTAAATATTTCACTTCACTCTTTGCTTGCATGTTATTTTTTTAAATATTTTATTTATTTATTTCAGAGAGAGAGAGAGAGCCAGCATGAATGGGGGAGGGGCAGAGGGAGAGGGAGAAGTAGACTTCCCATTGAGCAGAGAGCCTGACATGGGGCTCAATCCCACAACCCTGAGATCAGGACCTGAGCCAAATGTAGATGCTTAACTAACTGAGCACCCAGGCACCCCTACTTTCATGGTTTTTGAGAGTTGGATGTGACTGTTATCTTTGTTCCTCTATAGATGAGGTGTCTTTTTCCTCTGGTTTCTTTCAAGATTTTTTCTTTTTCTATGATTTTCTGTATTTGAAAAATTATATGCCTGGGTATGGTTTTTTGTTTGTTTGTTTTACTCTTATCCTGTTGATGTTCTCTGAGCTTCCTTGATCTGTGGTTTGGTGTTGACATTAATTTGGGGGAGATTCTCAGTCATTATGGTTTCAAATATTTCTTCTGTTCCTTTCTCTTTTTTTCTTCTGTATTCCCATTATACATACATTACACATTTTGTAGTTGTCCTACAGTCTGCATATTCTGGGGTGTTTTTTTTTTGGTCTTTGTATTTTTTGCTTTTTGTTTTTTTGTGATTCTATTGATACATCCTCTAGCTCAGAGATTCTTTCCTCAGCCAAGTCCAGTCTAATAATAAGTCCATCAAATGCATTCTTCATTTCTATTATAGTTTTTTTTATTTCAAGCATTACTCTTTTGTTCTTAGATAGGATTTCCCTCAATCTGCTTATATTGCCCATCTGTTCTTATATACTGTCTACTGTATTCATTATAGCCCTGAGCATGTTAATCATAGTTGTTTTCAGTTACTGCTCTGATAATTCCAACATCCTTGCCATGTCTGGTCTAACGTTTGTTCTGTCTCTTCAAATTGTGTTTTCTGCTTTTTGTTTGCTTTGTAATTTTTTCCTGATAGCCAGACTTCTTGGGAAAAAGGAACTGCTATAATTAGGCCATTAGTAATATGGTGGTGTGGTGCTGGGAAGAAGCCTATGTAACTCTCACACTTTTACTGAGCCTATGCCTCTGGATTGTGAAGTTCACAAGTTTCTCTTTTTTTTTCTTCTCCTCCCTTATGTGGAAAAAGATGGCTAAAGTTGGGTATTTCCCTTCTTCAAGATCAGGCTCTGATTATACTCTATTCAGTTTGGTTTAGTTTAACTAGTTTCCTCCTGAGAATAGGCCTTGTTACAAAGAGCTGTCTGGTATATTTCAAAATGATTTCTCTTCCCTTCCCCCTGTGGGAAATATGCAGGGGTTTTTGTCTGATATTTACTGTGGCAATCTGGTTGTAGAAATACCCATGTTTGCCTTCCCTGGCATTTTTACCTCTTAGAATTAGCCACACAGCACACCTAGCAATTCAGCTACAGTTCAGGGTTTCTTACCCTGGCCCTGGTTATCAATGTGCTTTCTGCTTTTAAGTCTCTGCTTTGGTAAACCAGGACTTCCTGTATTTGCCTGTCTTTCCAATCTTGGCTGCAGTGGTTTGCCCTGTTTCATCATCTCTCTTTTAGATTCTAGAAGAGTTTGTTGATTTTTCAGTTTGTTCAGCTTTTTAGTTGTTAAGACAGAGTAGCAATTTCCAAACTTCTTACATGCTGGGCTTGAAACCAGAGCATCTGTTCATTTTTGAAGGTCCTTGCTTACTATGGGAATCTTAGGTTAATCTGCCCAACATTGCCATGAGGCCAAAGTTTCACCTCCTATCTCAGTACTGGTATTGGAATTTGCTTCAGGCAAATCAGCTTTTGCATTTTTAAATTTTTACTATCAAGTTTCAGCTTGATGATTTTTTTTCTGTTCTGTTTTGGTTTTTTGAATTTTTCTCATTTTCTTTGTCAGTCTAAGCAAATAATTAAAACACAATTCTACTTTATGTTTCCAGTATGTAATAGAAGAATCTTTTTGAGAGTATAATCTGCCATGCTATAGAAAGAGCAACTATTTTCTTTCTTTTCCCCTTTTCTAAATAACATACATAAAGATTATCTAGAAAAGGAAAAAAGAAAGAAATACACATTTGAAAGAGCATTTATGATACTGTGTAGTTAATTCCATAACTTGAACACTGAAGGCAATAAGCACTCCATAAATCTTTATCATATGAATGAATGACTAAATGAATATTCAACTGCCCAACAGACATATTTATCTGGATATCTAGGTATAGTTAATATAGTTAATACTGAATTAATGATCTTTCCCACATAGTGGTTTCTTCCCTTAATTGAGCATGCACGCTTGTGTATCCTATCATATCCATTTCCTATTGTATCCTCCACTCTTTTATTACTGTGACTTCCTTAGTACAATCCAATACCATTTACTGCTTTATCATCATTATAGCCTCCATGTTTTTAATCTTGTGTCCTGACCATTTGGCCACTACATTGTTGATAGAGTGATCACTCAAGCTGGAGACTAAGGAAATAAAAATTCTTAAAAGGTTTGGGAATAGAAGTAAATAGAGTTGGCTGTCAATGACTCTGTACCATGAGCACAGAGAAGCACTTACTGAGTATAGCCACAAAAGCAGAATGATTGATTTTTATGTGTTACACATCTAGATTATCTCCTTGAAAGGAGTAAAGGAAGTTTATTTTTCTAGTTTGCATTTCATAAGCATTGCTTGTCTTAGGGACCAAGGAAAGGCAGAAGATACATGGTCAAGAGGAAACCTTAAAGAATTATCAAGGGAGGGTGCCTGGGTGGCTCAGCTGGTTAAGCATTTGCCTTTGACTCAGGTCACCATTCCAGGGTCTTAGGATCTAGTCCTGCATCAGGCTTCCTGTTCAACTGGGAGTCTGCTTCTTTCTCTCCCTCTACCATGCCCCCCTGCTTGTGCTCTCTTTCTATGTTGTACTCTCTCCCTCAAATAAATAAAAACAATCTTAAAAAAATTATCAAGGGTAAAAACACAGACAATCTCAGTAACTTAATTCTAGATGAAAACATATGAACAGGTTTGTCTTACTGGTTGATTCCCATAATAGCCTCTACTGTTTTGAGAAAGTACGTGCTAAGAGATCATGTATAATATCATAGAGAAATTATTCCAATTACACACACACACACACACACACACACACGCTAAAAAGCTCAGTAAAAAAATAACTTGCAGGAAAGGTTAATTATTGAAGATATGAAGCAGAACAATGTAAAAAATTAACACAGTCATCACAAGGAGGTCCTGCCTACATTACCTGGGAAAGTTGCTGTCATGAATTCTTTGAACTTCTCTAGTTTATCTTCATTGTTTTCAAACTTAATCTTTGCTGTCAGAGTGTATGCATTACCAAACTTGTTCTTTAAGTGCTGAGGGCTGCCAAGGCACTTGAACCTCCCCTTTACCATGATGGCTAGTCTGGTACAGAGGGCCTCACATTCTTCCATGCTAGGAAGACAAAGGAAATATGGTTGAAGAGATTGCCTTTCAGCAGGAAAATTCCATATCTCAAAACAGAGCTAGGATTATAAAGTAACAGTTGCTATAGAAAAGCTCAGTAATGCAGATAATCACCACTAAGACCATATTTGGGGAGAGGAGATCTTAAGATTCAAAGCAGTCAATTCCTAAATAACAATAGGAACAGTTCCTTATCTTCTTATCCAGTCATTTCTGGATTCCTGAATTCAACTGAGGATTCCTGGCATCAGCCAAGAATCAGCCTCTACCCACAATCCCTCCTATGTAGCTCATATACTTAAGCATTCACTGCCTTTATTTCTGGCTCCACCTAATTCCCTCCTATACTCTTCTAACTCTCAACCAAGCTTCCCAATGTGTCATACCTGTGGGAAGTTACAACAATAGCTTTGCCTCTTTTACACATCCATGTAATTGTGTCCCATAGCAGGCACCTGGCTGCTGGATCTAAGCCAGTAGATGGCTCATCCAGGAAGACAACTGAGGATTTTCCCATAAGGGCAATAGCAGTGTTCAGTCTACGTCTGTTTCCTTCACTTTATTGTCAAAGGAGAAAGTAGAGGAGAAAGAAGATAAGGGTACACATGTCATTAATTCATAAGAATTAGCTCATGTATACAGAATGCTGATTTGATATGACTCACAAAGCAGCAGGCCCAAGTCCAGATGTATATATCAATTCATTTTCATTGAAATGACTTTTCTTGGTAATTTATTTCAGCATCATTATTGGTAAAATATTTTTGTTTTAGGGAAAGAAAAAACAATAAAGAGATAAGGATGAAGGTACTTTTTTAAAATAAAATGTGAAAGAGGGTTCCCCTTTCTCCACATCCCCTCCAACACATGTTGTTTCCTGTCTTGCTAATTTTGGCCATTCTAACTGGTGTAAGGTGATATCTCAATGTGGTTTTAATTTGAATCTCCCTGAGATTCCTCAAGAAATTAAAAATAGAACTTCCCTATGACCCTGCCATTGCACTACTGGGTATTTACCCCAAAGATACAGATGTAGTGAAAAGAAGGGCCATCTGCTATCTGTACCCCAATGTTTATAGCAGCAATGGCCACAGTTGCCAAACTGTGGAAAGAACCAAGATGCCTTTCAACGGACTAATGGATAAGGAAGATGTGGTCCATATACACTATGGAGTATTATGCCTCCATCAGAAAGGATGAATACCCAACTTTTGTAGCAACATGGACGGGACTGGAAGAGATTATGTTGAGTGAAATAAGTCAAGCAGAGAGAGTCAATTATCATATGGTTTCACTTATTTGTGGAGCATAACAAATAGCATGGAGGACATGAGGAGTTAGGAGAAGGCGTTTGGGGGAAATTAGAAGGGGAGGTGAACAATGAGAGACTGTGGACTCTGAAAAACAATCTGAAGGGTTTGAAGAGGTGGGGGGGTGGGAGGTTGGGGGAACCAGGTGGTGGGTATTAGAGAGGGCACGGACTGCATGGAGCACTGGGTGTGGTACAAAAACAATGAATACTGTTATGCTGAAAATAAAAAAAAAGAATAAAAAATAAATAAATAAATAAATAAAATGTGAAGTCTACAGCTCACGTCTGCAAAAGGTTAAATTCATATAGGTGGGATCTGCCTTATTCCTGACCTCTGAACCCTGACAGGACCTTAGGCTATTTCACAGCCATTGCCCCTGTGTGACAGATGGATCAGATTGAGTTTGCAGGCATTCATTTTGAAAAGTAGAAACACAAGTAGGCAGCTTAATTGCAATAGCACTATGTCTGACCTGTATATGTGGACAAACTCATCAGCATTTGTTTCCAGGTGCATTGCATACAAAAAGGTTTCCACATACTTGCAAATGTCTGGCTCAGGGACCCCTCGCAGCCTGGCATACATCATCAGCATTTCCTGACCTGTCATGTGGTTGAGAATGGGGTCATTTTGAGGACAGTAGCCAATTCTTGACCTAATCTGAATCAAGAGAGTAATCATAAGAATAGGCCCAAGTCAACTATTTAATTGAGCATATAGTTATAAGGATGAGATAGAAAACCTGGTTTTGTAACCCATGTTGCTAAAAAGGTTTGATCCTCAAGAGCTCCCAACAAGGATTATTTCATTTCTAGGTGGAACCCACTGTAGTAAGATGGAATACTAACATCTCTAACTGGAGTTTTCAACACATATTCACTGTGCACTGCTAGGTACTCAAGACAGAATTTTGTTAGAGGAAGTTGCCTATTTAAATATCATTAGGAAAGAACTCTTCTATTAAATCTATTAATGTAATGTATAGGATTTTATTTCTAGTAATGGTCAAGCAACTTCTACTAGGCCAACACTCATAGATAAGAATTATATGATATATATAATATGTGTCTTTATATACATAAAAATACAAAAATAAACAACCATACAACATCAAACTAAAAAGCTTCTGCACTGCAATGGAGACCATGAATAAAATGAAAGGTTAACCTACTGAAAGGGAAAAAATATTTGCAAATTATTATCTCTGATAAGGTGTTAGTATCCAAAATACATAAAAAAACTTATACAACTCAATAGCAAACTATCTGATTGAAAAATGGATATGGGGGCACCTAAATGGCTCAGTTGGTTAAGCAACTGCCTTCAGCTCAGATCATGATCCTGGAGTCTCAGCGTAGAGTCCCACATTGGGCTCCCTGCTTGGCGGAGTCTGGTTCTCCCTCTGATCTCCCCCACTTCATGCTTTCTCTTTCTCTCTTTCTCTCTCTCAAATAAATAAATAAAATCTTTAAAAAGTGGATCTGAACAGATATTTTTTCCAAAGAAGACATCAGATGACCAAAGGGTACATGAAAACGTGCTCAGTATCACTGATAATCAGTGAAATACAAATGGAAACCATAATGATATATTGCCTCACACCTGTTCGAATGGCTATTACCAAAACGACAAGAGATAACAAATGTTGGTGAGGATGTGGAGAAAAGGGAAATCTGTGCACTGCTGGTGCAGGAAAAACAGTTTGGAGTTTCTTCTAAAGATTAAACATAGAACTACCACATGCTTCATTAATTCCATATCTGGGTATTTACCTGGAGGAAACACAAACACTAACTCAAAAAGTTATCCACACTAACTAAAAAAAGTATCTGCTATTCATTGCAGCATTATTTACAATAGCCATGACATGGAAACCTCAGTCTAATGATGGTTGAATGGATAAGGAAAATATGGTATATTTATACAATGAAATACTATTCAGCCATAAAAATTTGGATGTCCTGACATTTGTGACAACATGGATGGACCTTAAGGGCATTATGCTACGTGAAATTAGACAGAGAAAGACACAATATGATTTCACTTATATGTAAACTTTATTTTTAAGTATATTTTTATTTTATATTGTTGTTTTAATTTTTCTAGGGTCTGAATATTTAAATACCATTGTTCTTTTCTGCTCTTTAAAAAGCTTATGAAAGAGCCCCTGTGAAGCCATCTGGGACTTCATCTTATCTCATTGAAGAGTGAATCTTTGACAAGTTTATTTCTATAAAAATTGTGAAAGTTTCTATTTTTATTTTCTATTTCTTCTGACATCAGTTTTAATAATTCATTTGTAGTTAGAAAGTTATGAGTTCCTTTAAAAATTTAAATTTTATTGGGGCACCTGGGTGGCTCAATTGGTTGAGTGTCTGACTCTTGGTTTTGGCTTGGGTCATGATCTCAGGATCATGACGTCAAGCCCCACATTGGGCACTATGTTCATTGTGGAGTCTGTTTGTCCCTCTCCCTCTGCTCCTCCATGTGCTCTCTCTCTCTCAAATAAAAAATCAAATAAAACCTTTAAAGATTTTAAGTTTTTTTCTATGGAATTCAAGCACTTTGTGTTTCTTTTTTTTGTATGTTGTATTTCTTATTTCTTTTTAAAGAAGTTTTTATATAAATTCCAGTTAGTTAACAGATAGTGTAATATTAGTTTCAAGTGTACAATATAGTGATTCAACACTTCCATACAATACCCAGTGCTCATCACAAGCACACTCCTTAATCCCCATCAGCCATTCCCCCACCCACCTTTCTTCTGGGAACCATCAATTTGTTCTCTATAGGTAAGAATCTGTCTCTTGGTTTGTGTTTCTCTTTTTTCCCCCTTTGTTCATTTATTTTGTTTCTTAAATTCCACATACAAATGCAATCATACGTTATTTGTTTTTCTCTGATTGACTTGTTTTGCTTAGCATAATACTCTCTAGCTCCACCCATGTGGTTGCAAATGGCAGTATTTCATTTTTTATGTCTGAGTAATATTCCATTATACACACACAGACACACACACACACACACAATCTTTTTTTAATGTAATTTTGTGCGTGTGTGTGTGCATTTCAAAATTCATTGTTTATGCACCACACCCAGTGCTCCATGCAGTACGTACCCTCCTTAATACCCACCACCAGGCTCACCCAAACCCCCACCCTCTCCCCTCCAAAACCCTCAGTTTGTTTCTCAGAGTCCACAGTCTCTCATGATTCGTCTCCCCCTCTGATTTCCTCCAACTCACTTCTCCTTTCCTTCTCCCAATGACTTCCATGTTATTCCTTATGCTTCACAAGTAAGTGAAACCATATAATTGACTCTCTCTGCTTGACTTATTTCACTCAGCATAATCTCCTCCAGTCCTGTCCATGTTGATACAAAAGTTGATACCCTACATCTTTTTTAACTATTTACCATTTGATGGACACTTGAGCTTTTTCCATAATTTGGCTATTGTAGATAATGTTACTATGACATCCCTGATCATTAGAGAAATGCAAATCAAAACCACAATGAGATATCATGTCACACCTGTCTGAATGGCTAAAATCAACAACACAGGAAACCACAGGTGATGGCAAAGATGTGGAGAAAGGGGAACCCTCTTGCACTGCCAGTGGGAATACAAACAGGTGCAGCCACTCTGGTAAACAGTACAGAGGTTCCTCAAAAAGGTAAAAATATGATCCAGCAATTGCACTACTAGGTATTTACAAAAAGAATACAAAAATACTATTTCAAAGGGATATATGGACTCCAATGTTTATAGCAGCATTAACTTATCATTTCTTTAAATGTACTTACATCTCCTTTTTGGGGGGGCAAGTTTACCCATTTCTTTATTTTTATGAAGTTCTAGTGTCTTGACTTAATTGTTGTTAGCTGGTTTTATATTTTTAATTATTAACTTATGTACTTGTGTACATTTTTATATATTTTCCTTCCATTCATTTTTTAGTGAGTCGTTTTTCAGTTATTTCTTTTTCTTCATCTTTCTTTTTTAAAAAAAGATTTTATTTATTTATGTAATAGCACAAGCCGGGGGAGTAGCAGGAAGATGGAGAAGGAGAAGCAGTTTCCTTGATGAACAGGAAGCCTGACTTAGGGCTCTATCTCAGGATGCTGAGATCATGACCTGAGCCAAAGTCAGATGCTTAGCTGACTGACACACACAGACACCCCTTCTTTTTTCTTGAAATGAGTGTATAATGTGTATATACATTACTCTCCCTGTAGTTGTTTATTGCATCTCATAGTTTCTGATATGTGATATTTTCATTATTTTCTAGACATTTTTGTAATTCTTGAGTAAAAGCAAGAATCACCTAAAATGATTTTTTTAAATTTCAAAAGGGGAAAGGGGCACCTGGCTGGCTTAGTTGATGGAGTGTGTGATTAATTACAAAATAAAAAACAATCTTTAAAATATTTTTCAGAAAGGGAGGGAGTTTTCATATTCTGATTTTGTTTTATCTTATTTAATTCAGTTACAATTGAAGAATATATATATATTTTTAAAATGTATGCAAAAATGGTCATATTCATAAATGAAGTATTTTTGAGGGATATAGAATTAGACAGATATTGATCATGCTTACACAATTGACTTTATCACTTATGTATTCTTTGTATCTATTCTTTACTGACATAACCTATCTTGGACAAAATCAAACAAAATCAAACATCTCATGTATTATATATTTTTTCTCATCTCTCCTATAATTTCTGCCTTACAGAGGTTGCCTGTCGTTTGGTACAAAAATATTCATAACTTTTCTATCTCCATTATAAATACTACAGTTTAGTATTAATGCCATTTTTGGTAACTTTTGATGCTCTTAAGTTTGAATTCCACCTTCTTTATATTAAGACAGACTCCTAATTTCATACTCTTTCCATTTTATTTTCAACATTTCTGAATCATTGCATAAGGAGTGTCTTCAGGTTAGCATGGATTTGGCTTTTATTTGGAATTGCAATTTTAAAGTCTTTTTTTTTTAACAATGTGTGATTTAGATCTATTTATATTTATTGATATGATTGGGGGTTATTCCCTTTTTTTTTCTTCTGATATTTACAAAGGTTTGTATTGTTCTGATGGTATCTTTTACAAATATCTATTTATATATCTTTTTATATCTTTGAAATTTATTGACTTGCCTTAATCCAACATATGATAAGTTCTAAATAAATATTCCTGTGTATATGAAAAAAGAGTTTCATTCTTTCATTTTTGAGTACAATGCTTTATATATTTCTTTAGATTTAGTCTATTAATTGTTTTATTCAAATATTATACAGCATTAATGATTTTTAATGTCCTTTTTCTATCACAATGAGAGAGATGTATGTTAAAATTAGCTACCATGACAATGAATGTTTGTTTGTCCTCAAAGTCCTCCTTTTTATGTTTTATGTATTTTGAGACCATATTTTTAGATACCTACAATTTTTAACTGGCTTTTTGATAAAAATTATGTAGTTACACTTTTCTAATACTAGTAATGATTTCTAGTATAAAGTTTTACCTAATATTAGTACAGCTATCCCTGCTCTTTTGATTAGTATAAGCACAGCATATCTTTTTCTCTCCATTTACTTTCAAACTTAATGTTTTAAAATATGCCCATTATAAGGAGGATATAGTTTAAATTTTATTT